GGAGAAGTGTGGGAACAGGTATCATGTTCTCAACAACAAGAACAGGGACGACCGCACTCAGGTCACAGAGCTGCTGGAGAAGATAGAGGACATGGTGGCAGGAAAGAGTGACTGTTATTATAAGATTGAGAAAATGAATTTACAGAAGTTGGTAAAGAATTTAAAGAAATTAGGAATAAGGAAGAGACAGAGGATACAGGAGCTACTGCAGAAAACACTGGGACCCCAACTGCTTCCCAAGAGTGAGTTCATGTTCTTGTTGTAACAGACAAATATGTTCTCTCTCTGATAGGGTGACACCTCAGTATAGTCACATTAAAACAGGAGAGAATTTAGCCATGACCATAGCATCATGCATAACAATACTGCGTGATAGAAAACTCAGTGATTGTGAAATGAAACAATTATTGTGTTATTTTTTAACCTAATAGGTGATATTTTCTCACTTCCAGTGATATCCTGGAACTTACACAGCAGGGTTCTACAGGAAATGCCTGTAGAACTGTATTGGCTGTATTGGAAACAGCCCCTGTGGGGTATCTACCCTGTAGAACAACAGGTCTCCACTGGGTCACACTGTGAGCTCTGCTGAGACTCCTCAGTGGTGAGTTTCTGAAGAGGAATAATCTGTGATCTTTCTCTCTGACAGGGGAGGGACAGGCTGATTCCCATGAGGCACCACAGCGTCTCTCAGAGATCAGGATTGTGCTGCTGGGGGAGAGATGGTCTGGGAAGAGCTCAGCAGGAAACACCATCCTGGGCAGAGAGGAGTTTGAGATGTGGAGAGGACCTGAGGAGTGTGTGAAGAGTCAGGGTGAAGTAGCTGGGAGGCAGATCACTGTGGTAGATACTCCAGGCTGGTATTTCTCATCTGAAGATGATGTTGAGAATGACTGTGAACAGGAGTCTCCAGTACAGGACACTCTAGAGTTAATTAAAAAGGTGTTCAAACCCAGTGGATCTCTGTGTCCCCCAGGACCCCACACTTTCATTTTAGTGATTCATCTACACACAGGAACTGCATGGAGATCAGTGAAGAAAAAAGTAAAGCTTTTCACTGAGAGAGTCTTGAGACACACAATAGTGCTGTTCACCTGGGAGGACACACCAAGATACACAACCATTGAGCAGCACATTGAGAGAGGAGGAGAGGA